TATATATGCTGCGAGTAGGATGTAAATTCATTGATCAACAATGAGTCAAAAATATATTTATGAAAATCTTAAAAATAATATCTCATTTTTTTATATTCTTATTGCGCTAGTGACGGGCAGCTAACAGTTCGACATTATGCAAGTACTATTTGTACATTTTTGTGTAACAAACTAGAAGTGTAGTGTGTGATATACAGCGCTCGATAATTATATATACATATATTTCAATCAATGCTCGCGAACAAACGAATATTCAGAATATTAAATGATATTAAACATGATTTATTTGTACCGATAAAAGCTCGATATACATATTTAAATGTTTAATCAAGCATTTTGTTCCAAAGTTATTTATATATTAAAAGGTAAAAAAACTTTTATATAAAAATTAATGTTCTTCATTACAATTTATGTCTCGAAATAAAAACTTATCGAAACATAAGAAAAATATAATCAGCATTTTGATACAAATTATAATTATAAATTACGATTTTATGTACAGATAATTAACGAGAGTCTTTGTATCTCCCGTATCCTTGCACTTTGTTTCAATTTAGCCTCTTGGTAAGATATTAAATAAACAAGATTTCTATGTGTGATTGTTAAACAAGTGCCATTAGCAGTATTATTCCTGTTGCTTTTCAACAAGAGCTATTTTCGTATACTAGTAGACATCATATACTTTGGAACGACTTAAAACAAACAATTTGTAGAATAATTTTTATGTATACATATATATTTTACTCTTTAATTTGAGTAAACCGTAATGTATGCGCACATTGTACTTTCGAAATTTTACCATTCTCATTTTCATGCATTAATCACTACTTATTAAGCCAATCTTAAACGTAGCATAGCGAATGCTAATTAGCATTCGAATGAAAATTGTTAAACGCTCCACAATTCTTAAGTGTGTGTTAACTACTTGAAAAAAATTATAGTATATCGCTATCGCACAAAAATTTCTCTGCCTTATACATATTCCTTACGCGTTTAAATCACGAGTCGGCAATTTTATTCTGACACTTAAATGAACTCACACGAACACGAGTAAGAGTTTGCACAAGACATAATTTTACCAGAATTATCTGGTTCTAAAATCTTCGTAGGAACACGACTATATTATACGCCGAAAACAATTATGAGATTAATACTTGAACTTCCTCGAAAGTTAGATATATAAGTATAGAGAGAGAAAGAGATAGAGAGAGAAAGACAGATAGATAGATAGAGTAAGAGAAAAATAATTAAATCTAAATACTTTTTGTGGTCACAAGCCTTAAATTTTAGCAAAATTTTTTTTAATGTTATGTGCAACTAACGCGCCGACTCAGGTCAATTTTTTTTCCTATGAGTCGTTCGTTCACCGTTGCAAAATTATGTTTTGAGGTAGACAGGTATATTCTCCAATAGCTTTTTATAGCTTCGAGTAACGCTAAACCGAAAGATAAATACTTTCACCGACGCAAAATACCGCATTACTTTTTAATCCTATGCCTTAGTAGACCACAAATACGATTCAGAATGTTTAATCTGTGAAACTCTTGTAATTTCTCTCAATCTGATTTACTTCTCGATCCGTGCTACAACTGAGAAATTATAATCAAGCGTTCCGCTAAACTTGGTTTTATTAAAGAATTAAACAAATAAATATCAAAATAAGATTTGAGGCTGTTAGTCTTTAGCTTACAAAATATCCGTAATGTCCAAAGCATCAAAAATGCACAAATAATATCATTATTTGCTAATGACGCTAATAAACGTTTCGTGAATTGTCTTGTTGCTGAATCCATGATAATTAAATATATGTGCAAAATTGTGTTTTAGATTAGAGTATAGCATATCAAATATAAGTTTTGCACGTCTTCAATTTAGTCATGTGTTTCTACAATATTTCATAAAAATGATTTTCTGCCTCATTATTTTTTAGCGCTTGAACTTGGTACATCTCACTACACTAGATTTCGCATATACCGATTCTAATTTTTCAATACTATACATCAATGCGAATTTAACATTACTATAAGATACTGTAACAATATCATATTTCGTGTTTCATTGCCAACAAAGGATATCGCTTTTATCAGCAAATTGCACTGATAGGTATACACATTATGAAGATATTACTTATAATCTTATGCTTCAGGTACTACTTTTGTACCCATTTCTTACCTGAGCTCGCTCAAGATACGAACAAGACATCCGAAAGAAAATAAAAGAATGTATTCCCCCCCCCCCTCTATATTCTTAATGACATCTGCTAGTTGCCCGAATTATATACATTATTAAAATTCACATAGAGAAATAAATAATGATTACTAATATATACGCAATTAAATTTTTCAGATACAGTAATTCAATACACATGTGTAAGATTCGTTTCTCGTCGAGCATGAATAAAATTATCATAACATAATTTATATATATATATAATTTATATATATATATAGATATCAATACTGAGATACTTAATAATCGGCACCAGCTACTATTCACACGATTAGCAACATTATGTTATCTACTGTGGTGCTCTTTAAGAGATTAATCTCACAGTTTATACGAGAGGCGGATCCTTCTGTTCATCCATCTCTTCAACGGTTATATAAAGACCTTCCTCTTCATACGTTGATTCATGCTTTGCCAATACCTTCAGCAATGGACGCAGCTTCATCCACCATTGATACGTCGGAATGCGATGTCTAATAAATTTTATAAAGTATTACGTTATGTATAGAAAATTAACGATTCATTAAGAAGTTCAATAAGATACGCACTCAAAGTCAGTAACTTCGATAAGTTCCGTGAATGGCGTATATCTATACTGGCGTCTGACAATACCAAGCATCACCGCACTGTCCGCTGCCGTAGTGAACGTTTTGCCGTCGGGGCTGGTGCATTTTCTCAATTTATCACTAAACCATTCCACTGCTTTAGAGCCCATTTTTGTACCTAAGTTACGGTCAAAAGGCGTCGGTGAGCCTCCTTGTTGCATGTGACCTAAAACAGAAAGATATAATAATAAAAGTTAATTATATATTAAATGAAATATCAGATCGCTTAAAAGAGTAGCAAATACATACCGAGTATATTTCTTCTACAACTGAATAAACCTTTTCCTTCCTCGCTGAAAAGTCTGAATGTAAATTCTGTATTGTAATTTTCATTAGCGTTTTCGTTTCTGATGATAAGACCTCTTTCGACGCCTTCTGACATCTTTGCCGCCATCGCGATAACATCTTGATTCAAATCCTTGATATTAAATTTCTCCTCATAAATATACGCCGCGTCAGCACCACCAGCTAAACCAGCAACGGTCGCTAGATACCCACAAAAACCACCCATTGTCTCGATGATGAACACGCGACGTTTAGTGCCTTGCGCCGATTGACGAATACGATCACAGATCTAACAAACAAGTTGATTAGTATGTTATTAAATTTTAAATCTCCAAGTTAAATTTACTAACATCACAAAATTACAGAACTCACTTCTGTAATTTCATTCAAAGCTGTATCACAACCCAATGAAAACTCCGTGCCTGGCACATTGTTGCTAATAGTCGCAGGAATCATGGCGATAGGAATTTTAAACTCCTCATACTTATCTCTCGCCTTGAAAAATGTGAGACCGGTCTGATAACCCTGGGAATAAAAATATATTTTTATATTGATATTGATCTCTGGACGGATTCAATGTGCAAGATTCGGCGAATTCATTACCTCGAATCCACCTATGATAAGCAATGCTTGTATTCCAAATTCTTTGAGCCTCTGAGCGATTTGGGATAATTGATCTTCCGTGGGTGGTGCACGCTTTGTTCCCAATTTTGCGCCACCCTCTGAAACCCAGCCGGTAACAGACGGCCAGTCCATCAATTTCAATCTACCAGCTATTAAGCCTAGCACTCCATCACAGATACCATATACCTACAAGTCAATGGAATTGAGTATAATAAAAGTACGCGGGATAGTATTCAAAATTTTTCGATATATGATATACTTTGTCGCCTCGATAGATACAATTCCTCACGAAGGAACGAACTGCCGCGTTCATGCCGCAGGACGGCGATCCTATATGCATGACTGCCAATGTATAGTTATCCTAAAATAATAAAATCGCATTTACTAGATGAAAAATGATACGTCAATCATGCAACGTGCACGGGAAGCTGAAAGATCGCATTTTATGTATTGCACATTAAATAGCGCACAATGCTTCCGTTCCATCTGCCTGCAAGAGGATAATCGTGAAGTACGGTAAATGACATATATTTCTAACATAAGGTGATATATATTTCGAACACATTCTCTACTCGAAGGGGTTAACTCACTTGTCCACATAAAGTGTATTGCTAAGGGTGGAAAAATGTGCTATCGTTAGGGAGATTGCGCTCGGTACTATATACAAAATCTGAGAAGAATATATACTTATAGGTTTTAACTCATTTACCTTCGGTAATCCGCGGCCATTAACTTCCTGAAGCAGTATCAAATAACATATGTAATAATTTATCCATTACTCATTATTTTATATGTTAGAGACCCAAAATTCTCGCAATATATTTCTATCTACTTCTTCTATCTATTAATGCTATATTAATATCGTGTTACAGAATAGAGTTTTTCGGGTCAGAATAAACTTGTTATTAGATATAAATAGAAAATGATCATACCCTGTTAGCACCATCTATCAGGTGTGGCGCTTTCAAACGAGTCAGCATTTTATACGTTTCTAAGTTGCGTGCGAAGCCCCTGGATAAATATAAACGCATACGTTTATTAATGTACTTAATATTTCATATATTGTGGTATGTTTTATTCACTCACTTTCCTCGAAGCTGAACAGCAAGGTCCCAATTTTTGTCAGTCATAGCCTGCGCTACGGCTTTCGTACGACGAACACATTCCATAAGTGGTAATCTCACAGCTTGATTACCGTCTAATGTGACGACACAGGCTTCCGTATCGGGTGTTGCCTCCATTAAAGCCATCACAGCTTCAGCTCCCATCCGGCATCCCTGTAACGCACATTTATCTCTCAAAAGTGTGACACATATTGTATTTTATAACATTGCAAATGAAGAAAAAATGAAAACATTAATTAACTTGCTAATTTATTTAAAATTAATTTTAAAAAAATTGAATGCGTGCGATTCCCGTGTGTAAATTGTTATAAAGGCTTCAATTTGTATATTAAAAAATTATATGTACGGTTATTAATCTTAAATGGTGATATCTTACCAAAACTCTATCGAAGGCTGAAGGATTGCCACCTCTTTGTACATGGCCCAGAACAGTGATTCTCGTATCCTGTTGCAATTTCTCTACGACGACTTTGTGCACTTTTTCAGCAGTGATCGGATCACCATTTCTATCGACAGCTCCTTCGGCTACGATAATAATATTAAGCCGTTGACCGGTAAGTCTTTCCTAAAAAAAAATTGTATAATAATAAAAATCTCCCGTATATCAAAGTTGAAATTTTGCTTAAACAGATTCAAAAGCAGACTGTAAAATAGAGAAGTAAAGAAAATGAAAGATAATAGCTTAATAACGATGCAATCATGATTACATAGATTAATAAAAAAAAATATATTAAATAGCATTAAAAGTATAAGCCTTTGAATTATATTAGCAGCATTTAATATTTTTTTTATGTTAGAATAATGTTGCACACACACATACGATGTCATAGTATAGCATGCACATTTAAGTGAATATTTCTTTCCTATACGAATAGAGAAAAGTGTTTTCAAAGCATATCGTAATACATTATCATTCAAAGTAATCAAACAGAATAAGCAATTAAAATAATTGTGATAAATTGCAATTAAAGAAATAAAATGTGAATTGCAAGAAGCAATGTGTGTTGTTCATCTTGCAGGTTGATTCAATCAGGACAATTAAATATGCTTGTTTTAAAAAATTAAAAAAAAAATATTATCGAACCTGCAACAATTTTTTGCACAGCTTGTTGGGCCACTCCTGCTCGGGTGGCCATTCTGGGATGAAAACATAATCAGCCTCGCAACATATAGCTGCCACCAGAGCCAGATAACTGTAATGGTATATTGTAAACCTAACTAAAATTCGACTTTAATGCGATATGTAAAAATATTATATAAAATAATGTTACGCGTTATTAATCAATCGTGATCACGTTTGATTATAAATTCATAAAATTTTGTTTGATCGAAAAATGTAAGTAGAAACTAATCTGTGGTAAATTTTCGCATAAATATTAACGGGATGAATGTTCAAAAACGAGAAAATTTTACGCATACAAAATGTGACCTGGCTATAATTGATTATCTTAGATATATACCGCATTTAAAAATACAAAAAACAAAAGCATTTCCTTACATATCTTTAAATTTTATTTATTTCGGGCATTAAATAATAATAATTTAAAGTAACGACTGGTTGAGAAACGTGCCTGTCGCAGACCTTGGCATAGCTCCTCGACCCAGTCACCACTTGTCGGAGATTCAGGAAAAAAGCAATAGGTGGCTTCGGTAGACAAACTTGACGCTAATGTCAGGTACCTGAAAGGCTCTGTTATCTAATTATCTTCAGTACCATCGGACATATCATTATATTTACACTGACTCTATATTAATTAATGTGCGACAATAAAATGTAAGTATATTTTTCGTTTGCATTCCTCTTTACGTCACTATTTAGAGGTATATATACATTCAGGATGTTGTATGATCAAATATTAAATCAGAACACATTTAGCAACTCAAAAAACTGACATATACATAAAAATTCATTCCTTACGTTTAGTCAAGTTAGTAAAAATTAGCAATGCAATCTTTAAAATTTGAGAAAGTCTATCAGACGTGCCTGCTCTAACTTTTTACATAATTTTTCAGGCCAGTCGACAGGAGGCGGACATTCTGGGAAGAAAACATAGTCTGCCTCCGCAGCTAAAGCGCCCACAATAGCCAGATACCTAATCGAAAATCGTTTGTTTATCTATGTTTCTTTTCCAGAGTCAATATCGATTCGGCGCGATAATATATACACGCTAAATCTCGTGTCCTAAATTGTAATCAACCACTGATGACTTATCTTTGGAAACTAATAATAAAGTCGTTTACCAATGTAAACCTTAAATTATTCTCGCGATATCAAAAATAACAATATATTCTGCACTTACCCGCAGTGACGACCCATGACTTCCATTATAAACGTTCTTTGATGTGAGTAAGCTGTGCTGACTATAGCATCGATACTCTCAATGATACGGTGCAACGCGGAGTCGGTACCGATCGTCATATCCGTACCGCAAAAATCGTTATCAATAGAACCTACTAGACCGACAATATGTAGTTGCTTATATTTCTCGCTCTGTTCGGCAGTTATATCACCTAATGAAAAATAATGCATTTGTTTTCGAGCACATATGATAGACCGTCGAGCTAAAGCGACAGTTTCCTAAACGTTCTCTGTTTACCAGATTCGACGAGCTCCTTCAGAAGTGTGGGCCATTCTTCCTTGAAGAGATTGGCGCCCGTGAGAGAGCCGTCCCCACCGATCACCACCAAATTAGTGATTCCCAGATTAACTAAGTTCTTAGCGGCTTTCCGACGACCGGGACGCTCCCTGAATTCTTTGCATCGGGCGGAGCCGATTACAGTGCCACCCTGAAGAAACAAAGAATACTAAATGTTAATAATATACGAACAAATAATCATGCAATATTTTCAATCCTGTAATGTGTACCCTGTGAATGATGCAAGATACGGATGACCATGTAGCTTCCTCGATGTTTTTCCCGCCATTCACCATGCCTTGATAACCTTCCCTGATAAAATACACCCTACACCCGAGGTAAATGCCCATTCTTACGACTGCTCGTACAGCGGCATTCATTCCTGAAAAACAAAATATCAAAACGTTAATCACGTTTTACTTCAAGATACACGCACATGTAATTTATACGATTATTCCGATATACCCTGAGAGTCGCCTCCACTAGTGAATACGGCGATGCCTTTGCCCTTGTGACTCCCAGGTTTGATAAACTTCTGAGCTGGCGCGTCTTCAGCCATGACTATATCGCAGTATTCCTTATAACTCTGTAATACAAAAATTCGACGTTAATATTTCTCAGAAGCTATGCTTGCGCTGTTTCTTTTTACATTTTTCTCATTTTGCGCAGAACGTGCAGATAATGTAACAATTTCTATATTTTACTCAGTAACCTAATCAGCAAGAATGTTTAAAAAAATATATATTTTAATATTTATTTTATACTTTTAATATTAAATATTAAAAAATATATTTTATAAACATTGTCTGTATTGACTGGAGAAAGTAACAGTAAGATGACATCAATGTTATAATTTCCTGAACAATATAACTGTTACAACATATTATAACAATTATATTATATATTTATGAATAGGAATATTAATGAATAGAAAATTATAATATTGATGTAATATTTAGCGATTATTAGTATGCATTATTTTACAACAAATAGAAAACAAGTACAAAGAGATCAATAAAGAGACAGTCATAACTCGTTGTCTCATAAACCGCGGAAAACGCAGATTCCTGGCGTATTCTTCCTCGACCACGTTAAACTTCATCTCGAACGAAGAGCCAGTAGGTAAAGCTTGAAACGATTCAAAGTTGCGCCCCCAGAACATCTGTGTCCAGAAGTACGTTTTCTACGTAAATTCTAACATTTTCTAACATTTGTGCGTAAATTTGTGAGAAAAGGAAAAGAGGAATTGCATGATTATTAATGGGCGCACGCTTGCCTTTGGAAATAATAAAAAGAGCTTTAAATTTTGCGTGCTGATCTCTTTCAATCTACGAGAATCGGTTTTCTTCAATACTTCAATGGCGATAGACTTTATTGAGGAGTTTCTGGATATCGAAGATCCAATTCTAGAATCCGTTAAACTCTTTGCATCTACATCTCGTTTTTCTGCAGTGCTTTCTCGTATATCTGGATCGTCGTCCAGGTCGCTATCACTTTCCGCATAGCCTTCCGAATAAATTGCATTTGTACAACAACACTGAACGGCTTTCTGATTTTTAGACATTTTTCTCCGCACGATAAATTTTACATTAAGTTTTAACCTTATTTCAATTCGAGATATGTACATATCACTATTCTACAAGTTCATTCGTAATAAAAAAATGAAGTCCACTGCGGAATATTTTTGCGAATAAATCATATAAAAATCGATTTTTTGAATTTATTATATATATTGTACTCAATTTAGTATACTTGATGTATATACTTTAATTTATGTGTACCTCAATTAATATAATCTTAGCCATAAATATAAAACATTCTCAATTTATTGCATCATCTTGAAAAAAGCGATAACAAAATCAATGGAAATTAATAAAACATTAAAATTGTTATAAAAATAAATTTTATTTCTCAATAAAAATATTTTTAATTTATTCTTATATATATAAAATAATTTTTTTCATTACATACAGAACGTTACTCCAAATTATAGGGACGCTTTATACTCAACAGTAAAGGCCGTATATGTATATATAAAAAGATATATATAAAAGATATAAATATAACGAAAGAAAAAAAAACGCTTTTACAAATTGATTATGTTATTTAAATTCTTATAATAGTAAAATAATACATAAAGGATAAGGATATACACGAGTATAGTATTTTAATTAACAAAGAATATAAAAGGATTAAGCTTGAATGCTAAGAGTTCCATCACTGAACACTGAAAGAACCTCAGTGCCCACCGCAGAAAAATCCGGATAGAAGCTGTCGGAACTGACGCGTTACGACATGCGAGTACCGCGTTTTAAAATTAAATAACACGTGTGCAAACGAAATCTGGCTGGGTTTCAAATCGAGAGAAGGAGTAGCATCAACAATTCGCGAGCCACGAAGTTATCACTGCTCGCCAGCCGGAGAGCTTTTTCCGTCTGGCTTGTCGTGTGACGAGACGTTTTAATTTATATGTTCGAGAGAACAAAATTCTCATATTTTCTATCTTAAAAAAAGACCAAGATCGCCATCGCAACGGTGAAATTCAATACAATGACACCGAAATAAAAAACTTGTTCATTTGATTAAATTTGTCTTTATTTCTTTCAATAAAGAATATATGTATTTAAGTAAACAATATATTATGTGTAGTAAAAAGAAATCCATTATAATGGATTAAATAATGGATTTCTTTTTATTACACCTAATATATTTAAATTAAATGTAATATTTGATTTGAATGTATGTATTTAAATCAAATATATAATTATAATTATATCTTTATAATTATATTATATTTAATTTAATTATATTTGATTACATTATATTTGATTTAAATACGTACATTTTCCAAAGAAAGAAATAAAGACTAAATTTAGTAAAAAAAAAGGAACAATTAATTCAATCAAATGAACAATTTTTTCTCTCAGATGGAATACGAATTAAAGCGAATCTCGAGGACATTGCTCCGATCTCGTGAGTTTCCTCCTGTGACGCGCAATAGCGATAAATAATAATGCGTGGAAGATGTAATTGTGTCATTGCGAGATATATGCTTGGCGTACGAGGGATGCTGCGAAGTAGATTTCTTGTAACTCTTTCATATACTCTTTTCTTATGTACTCCTACCAATACAAATTAATTTTAATCTCGGTTTATTTCACTTTTTTCTTCTTCCAGCTCTAAAAATGAGAAAAAAAATAGAATAAATTAAATTGAAAATTAAATTGTTTTTTACAGCTCAACAAGTTTGCACTCTTCGTATTAATCATCCGTTTGCAATATCATATTTTTATTGTCTCTAGCCCAAGTTTTTTTATTATTCTAAGCTTTTAAATGTGCGGAAAAATTCAAGGTTTCTCTTCAATATCTCTGTTATATCATCAAATACTTTTTACATTACTAAATTCGAGAGTCAAATTTTACTTATGCAAAGAAGAACTCAGATTGTAGATGAAAGATTGAAAATAGATTATAGTCATTTTCAGTGTCAATTACATTTGTTTGGTATATAGAACTTAATATATAATTTTTGATACATAAAACTATTAATTTAAAGATATATGTTTGATATATAAAAATTATAAATATAAACGATATATATAATTATAAATATATGATATACAGCAAATGTGGAGTCTAATAATAAAAAAACAAAGATCAAAATTAATCTATATTGTGGTAGAAATGAGCCTTATTAGAATAACATTGCCGAGGCACCGAATGCGAGAATCGATCGTTAGAAGACAATAACGACTCGTTTGATAATTCTATGAATCCATATCTCTTACGCAATAATTGTTCATCGAGCAGTTTAGCATTCATCGAAACATGCTATATTTACAAGCGTCACGTGAATCGTTGGCTGTCGTTCTCTCGTAAGTGAGTGATTGCGCTTGCCTAGTCAATGAGAGCTTAACCTAAAAGTAACCTTGGCTCACCTAAAAGAGGATCAAACAGCGAGTGATTGCCTAGAATTTTCCGAAAAATCCGTGAACTTGTCAGTTTGGTGATGATATCACCCGAATGCGATGCGGTTTTGGATTCCAAGCGAGTCGACGAGCCACGCACTTTGACCGATCAATTGACAGTCGCGTGCAGGTGTCAGGCGTCGTGACGACGACGACGCAACGACAACGGGCTTCAGTGTGCGCTGCGCACATGAAAATCAGCAACCGATCGATGCTCGCGATCGTCAATCACGACGAGCGATTCGACTCACCAGAGAAATATGACTGACAATCGCGATGACGACGATGTCCCTCTGTTGCTGATCCTCTTCTGACAGACATCCGTCACCACCGCGCCACGTTCGCCCGACTGAAGGTGACCTTTAGACTTTAGCTGGCCGCGCGTTACCCCCCACCACGCGCTCGAACGATTTCGCCACCCCCTTCCCCACCACGGCCCTTGAATGATTTCAAACGAATCGCGCGCGACGCGGAAGATTCGAATACATTGGGGCAAACTGAAGTGCGCCGACAAAGACTTGCGAGTGCGTCTCGAAATATTTCGAAAATGAGCGGCGAAAAATTGATTTCTCCCATTTCTTGAGAGAAAATTGTATTTCAGGTTTTATCTGTTAAGAAGCTTTTTGATCGAAAATCGTAGAATGGCCAAGTGGATGAAACATAAATGTTTGAGTACGCACTGAGAAAAAAGTATTTGGTATTTGTGACTATAATTGCATGATAAAATAATTATGGTTCATTTTATAGTTATTATTGATATAATGTTAGTAATAATAATTATGTTTCTATTAGGTGTTGGAATTAATTCGTAGCGTTTTTTAATGAAAGAATGTTATTTATTTCACATGAGCATTAAAAAATACATTAATGAAAGTACTTCCCATCACTTGTAAAACGCTACGAATTAATTCCAACACCTAATAATTCTATATCATAAAATATAATTATAATATTAAAAAATATAATTGATATATAATCTGGCCTAATACAAAATTAAATGAAAAACGTTGAGAAGGGCTATGAGCCAATTAAAAAAATTTTTTTAATATAATTTTTTAAATATAATTATATATCGAAATATTTATACAAAAAAATAATATTGTAGACTGAAAATAACTATGACTCAAGTAACATATGGAAATTCCTAACAATATTGCAGCAACATTGCAACGTGGTTATAACTGCTGAAATGTTCCATGCTATTTGAATCATAATTATTTTCTATGCCAATTATAAGAAATATACTTAGACAACAAAAAGTGTCTAAAATCGAGTCACAAAATATTTTTTGCGTCTAAAAGACAATTTAAAGACGTCTTATGTCACAATTTTAGACTTTGTGTTGTTTGGATAATTATTATTATATTTATATTTCTTGTAATTAGCATAGAAAATAATAAAACAAATAAAAAATAGAGTAAAAAAAAAGAGCCAACAATTAAGAGCCTTAATGCACGTAGTTAATCAGCTAACTGACGATTATATACACTCCAGATATGGTAATCTATGAGACTTGCTTGCTGCACTCGATTTCTTTGAAATATGAACATTGCATTGTTATCAATTATTGCTATCATTGGAGACTGCTGAGGACGGCTTGAATATAGATTGAATTTAGTTTTGTATATTATGTAATAAATACAATCGAAATATATGTTTATTAAAGCTCTTAATTGCCCATTTTTTACTCTATTTTTTTATTTGTTTTAATAGAAAATAATTATCAATAATAAGAAATATAAATACAATTATTATTATTAGCATTATAGCAGTAATAATTATAAAAATTCCTACCCATAATATAAACGATACAACAGTCATAAATATCAAATATTTTTCTCGTAATATGGAGCATGTTTTCATAGAAATTTGCAACAATAACCTTTAAGACGAAATCATTAACGCGATAACAGATATTTACTGATAACCCAGTGAAAAATGATAATGGAACTGACATCGAATTGATATCGATTCGACTTCGAAATCATCAAATCAACATCGAATCGAATTTCAATCAAAATAAATATTATTGTAATCAATATTGATATCAAAATGAAAAGTATAAATCATGTTTTGATTACGATTTTGGTTGAATATTATGAAAACTAATTAAAATAGAAGAGAAAATAAAATTAGATGACCTCGTATGATAAAACTCTGATCAATTTCTATTACATGCATTTATTTCTCAGTTTCTTTTGTTTATTAGAAAAATGATAAACTTACCTGATAGTAATCCTGATAATTATCCATTTTCATAAGTCGGGAGGTAAATAACACTTAAAATCCTAAATAATTCAAATATGTTCAGTCAAACGTGCAATTAAAATTGTGTCCAAATCTCTGTACAAATTACGAAAATAATTATATTTTCACTATCATTGTGCGTATTTTGTTTCATATTATTATTAAGATTAGTTATTAACTTTCTCAAACAACTTTATGATTACTTTGCCGAATCTGCACAAGGAATATTTTTGTAGTTTCTTATTGTCGCGGTTGATCGTCGTCGACGTTCCACTTCGTTGAGACGACTTCTACGTGACGACTGGAACGTAAGGATCTGCTTAAATAGCGAGCGCGCTTTACAGGTAGGAAAGACGATTGCCAACTGATAAGTATGACGCTCATTGACGAGAAACAATCTGCAGCCCTTGTCACATTACGCAGAGATTAAGAATTGCAAATTGGAGATTAGAATTCAACCAGTTAGACAATTTTAATTTCAATCCTTTTCTCTCTCTCTCTTCAATCCCTCATCTTCAATTCGCAATTCTCAATCTCCAATGCGTAATATAAGCTTAAAGCTTGTCGTACAAGAAATTTTTGCGTATTGATTGACTACAACATAGAGAATTTCCAGAAATTCCAGAAATTTTTCTATCCTAGCAGTCAATCAATCAACAGATTTGAAAAGCTTTGTCGACATGTCAACCTCATAGATTTCTATAAGAAAGATTGATGTAGAATATTTCTTGTCCTTGGGGAAAATTTTTCTCAGAATTTTTATACAAATTGGAACATTTTTCAGAAATATTAAGAAAGTCTACATCTTTTCTTAGAATTTTTCATTTATATAATAATTTAGAAATATTCTAAGATTTAAAAAATTTTGAATGTTATAATTTTTGATGAAATTTTATAAAATCTGAAAGAGTTAAAGAATTTTTTTTAGAAATTATAGAATTAGAAATTTAAAAATCTTAAAATATTTGACAATTCATATATATGAAAAATTCTAAAAAAAATTATATTCTGCTATATATTTTCTCAATATTTCTGAAAGATGTTCAAATTCTTAAAAATTCTCATAAAAATTTTCATTATTACAAATTTTTCAAGTATATTGATTTGATATAAAATAGAAAAATTCTCGTTTTAACAAAAATTCTCTATCTTAGCCTGCATTTAAAAACTTGTCGTACGATGCATGAAATCAGTCTCATAATACTTACACACACGTGACTGAGCAAAGTCTAGCGAGTACAAAGATCTACGATATTGTACCTGAAGTGCACACAAACGCAGCAAAATCCACTAGATTGCTCGTGAATGTGCAAATTGCCACGTTGCATGTCACAATCGCACGTCAGTTAAGTTTTCGTTATACAGAAAGAATAATGAATCATCGTGAGAAAGCGATTCGTTAAATCCAGCTTCGATGTTTTCAAGATCAATGATGAATAATTTTTGGACAAATTTTAGCCAGTGATCTTCGAAATATTAGTGATATTGAAATAATTTGTGGATTGGAGCAACAGCTAGTAGTCAAAATATAATTCCGATATGTGTGTGTACTCTCTAAAACTTTTAGAGTGAATCTCACTCTTAAAGGTTGAAAATTGAACCATTCTTTTTCAAGACTGTCTCAATTTTCATTTTTTAGAATGGTCCGCTTTAAAGAATTTAGAGAATAATCTAAACTAAAAAGACACAGGATAATTCCATTTTTAATAGTAAATCCACTAATACGAAGACACAAGCTTATAAAAATCATTCCAAATTAATAATGTATCGCTCTCACTTAAAAAATGACATTAAGTTTCCCAGAAAAAAAGAAAAATTATTTTTCAACTTGATAGAAAATTAAGAATTAATCATTATTAGTAAAAAGAATATATTCTTCACCAAATATATTGATCAAATGTCATTTTTGTCATATTCGTTTCATAAATAATCTTTAAAAAACTACTCTGTTTGAAATGGATAAAGTAATACTCAACTCATTCATGGTAGTAACTCGAAAATTGATTTGTGTTACCTTTGAAGAAAGCAACATATTCTGCTATAAAAATACAGCATAAGCATCGGATATTTTATCGATCAGGATGCTTATTTTATTGGAACAATTTTGTAGTTTTTAGTGTGCATCAACGATGCAAAAGTAAGGGAGGATTTCGTTACAAGGTTCACAAATCCGCGTTCTCGATGCAGTGATTGATGTGGGTGAAATGACTGCACCGTTTTCGTCGCTTTTACAGCTTTTATTTACAAACACCACCCCGCCAAGTATCTCAGCGTCGTCTTGTTAATCCATTTAACGTGTATTATATTCGATTGAAACGGCATTGATCTATATCGAATGAGGGAGGGGCGGGGGAGTAGGTGAGGGGCGAGAATTTTTCAGGACGACAGCTAAAAACAGGTTACAATCGTAGAAGAGCAAAACCGAGGAAAATCTTCGTTCTAGCGAGGTTCGCGCGGCGACAAAATCGAAGGCCGCATACAAGTCAATGTTACGAAGAAAAGAAAAGGATTGTTACATCGACAAATTATTTAAAAAGAATTAAAAGTCTTAATTTGAATGCCGTTACAGGAAAGGATTTTCCTTCTCGGTGACGAAAATCAAACGTGGCTTGCATCAAACGTGGATCTGACGCAATAAACCAAAGCGCCGTGGCAATGCGATGCAAGAAAAAAAATTTGATACTTATATTTTATGAATGAATTTATAAAGACATAATATAGCAACACAAAGTGTATATTAAAATTGAAACGATCAAATTTACCTTTTCTCGTAAAGATCTTTAATAAATCCTTAATATTCATTTCTATTAAAAAATGTAAAATTTCTGTCAATTAACTTTGATCTCGATTTAACTCACCTTTCATCCTTTTCTAATTCTTAGAATTAGAAAAAGATAAAAAGTGAGTTAAATCGAGATTAAAATCAGTCTGCATTCAAAAAAAAAACGAACATAAAACGCCTCAATATTTAAATGAGATTTTCTGCTGTCTACATTAAAAGTCGAATAGAATAAAATGAAGGCATACACAGACAGACACGAAGAGAACGATTTTGATCTGATATATCTAAAGTTATTAGATTTAAAAATAATTTTGTTGAACACAACAAAATAATTACGTAGGAAGCTCAAGATGAGTAATGC